GGGAATATCTGGGAAATAATTGCAAGTATTGGGAGAATAATATCAAATGTCTAGGGAGTATTGGGGGAATAGTAGACAATTAGGGGAATAATAGGAACTATTTGGGGAATAATCACCACTTGGAGTGGTTGGGATAACGGGACATATTTGGGCAATAATAGGAAAACAGCTGGGGATGTTTGGAAAATCATAACAGAGCTTGGGGAACAACAGCAACTGTTTAGGGATTAACAGCAAATTAATTGGGGGAATAATGGGGAATATTGGGGGAATAATGGAGAGTGTTTGGGGAATAATGGGGAATGTTTGGGAAAATAGTAGGGAAATAGGGAGTATCTGGGAAATAATAGAAAGGGGGAATAATATCAGGTATTTAGGGAATATTGGGGGAATAATACACAATTAATTGAGGGAATAGTAGGAAGTATTTGAGGAATATTTGGGAAGTAACAGAAAAGTGATTTGGGGAATAATAGGAAATATTTGGGGAATAATAACCAATATTTGGGGAGTGGTTGAGAAATAATAGGAAATAGTTGTGCAGTAACGGAAAAATAGCTTGGGGAATGTTTGGAAAATAATAGCAAATATTGGAGGAACAACAGTAAATATTTAGGGAATGTTTAGGGAATTAAAGCAAATTAATTGGGGGGATAATGGGGAATATATGGGGAATGTTTGGGGAAATAACAGAAAATATTTGGGGAAAACCAGCAAAATTGGTTGGGGAATATTTGGAAAATAATAGCAAATATTTTGGAAATGATATCAAAGACTTAGGGAACATTTGGGAAATAAGAGCAAATTATTTGGGGCAATAGTAGGAAATATTGGGAATATTTGGAGAATGTTTGAGGGAATAATAGGAAATTAACTTAGGGAGTATTTGGGGAATGATAGACAATGGATTGGGGGAATAATGTCAAATATCTAGGGAATATTGGGGGAATAATAGGCAATTAATTAGGGGAATAACAGGAAATATTTGGGGAATATTTGGGGAATAAAAATATTTGGGCAATGATTGATAGAAAAAGAGCTTTGGGAATATTTGGAAGTAACAGGAAATATTTGTGGGGGGAAAAATAGGAAATTAATTGGGGGAGTAATGGGAAATATTTGGGGAATGTTTCTTTGGGGAATGTTTGGGGATGTTTCTTTGGGGGATGTTTGGGGATGTTTATTTGGGGAATAACAGGAAGGATTTGGGCAATAACAGAGGGGAGTGGTTGGAAGTAACAGGAGTTCCTTAGGGAATTACGGCCCCGTAGCCTGTGGAACGGCCAGGCCGGGCTCAGTGGGAATTCCAGGCCTGACCCGACATTCCCACATTTCCAGCTGACCCACGGGGTGATGAACAAGGAGCTCAAGTACTGCAAGAACCCCGAGGACCTGGAGTGCAACGAGAACGTCAAACACAAAACCAAGGAGTACATCAAGAAGTACATGCAGAAATTCGGGATCCTCTACAAGCCCAAAGAGGACACGGAGCTGGAATAGCACCTGGAATCCCCCCCTCCCCAGCCGCTTCCCCCCGGGATTGGGCGTTTGGAACCCCCACCCTGGAGGTTTTATTTTCACCACGAGGTTTTTTTTTTTAAAGGAGAAGCAGCACCCTCGGTGCCGCGGCCCGGCCGGGCTTTGCCGATCCCGGTTTTCCGGAGCCAGGCCCTGCCGATCCCGGTTTTCCCGAGCCAGGCCCAGCCAGGCCGGGCTTTTCCGGCACCGCTGCCGAGCTCTGTATTATATTTTAACGTGTATGTGAATATATTGATAACAATTCGCTTCCCGCCCCCCCACCGTCGCTTTTAGCCCCGAACTTGCCGATCCCTCCCACGGGGAACACTTTGCCAGGAATGTTTTGGGGTTATTCCCACATTTCCTTTTTTTTTTTTTTTTTTTCCTTGTTTTTCCCCTCGGTCCTGCGAGGTTCCCTGTGTTCCCCCCCCTGTAAATAACCGCGGATTTCTGGCCATGTGGATAAGATTGATTTTACTGCTTCGAGCATTTTACTTTCTCCAATTTTTACGGAACTTTTTTTGTAAAAAACCAAAAAGGCAAAAAAAGAGAAAAAAATAAAAAATCCAAAGAAAAACGAGCCCCCCCCAAAAAAATCCCAGTCGACGCCGGGCACGGGCGGGAGGGAATTCCCCCCCGTGACCCTCAGTATTCCCGGGAATCCTTGGGGAGTGGGAAAGGGGGGGGGTTGGGGTGACCCAGGAGCATTTTGGGGTTAAAAAGGCCCTTTTCTGTCACAGGTGCCACCTGATTTGGGCCCGTGGGGGATGGGGGGGATATGGGGACACCCGAGATGTCCTGGGGACGTGGGGGACCCACGGACACCTGAGGGGACACATCCCAAGGACATGGATGGGGGCACCCCGGGATGCCTGGACCGGGATACAGGTCCTGGGGACACTGGGACACCTGAGGGGACATCCCAGGGCCACGTGGCTGGAAGGACACGGGGACAGCCAAGGCCACACAGCCCAGGCACACACGGACACCTCGGGAATGACAGCAGGGATCTGGGGAAGAAAAGCTCCAGAACCGGAGGAATAAAGGGAGGAATAACGGGAAATATTTGGGGGATAATGGGAAGTAACTGGGGAGGAAGCGAAAAATGGTTTGGGGAATAACAGGGAATATTCAGGGGGAAAGCAGCAAATGTTTGGGGAATAATAACAAAGTTGGTTAGGGAAGAGGGGGGGAATGACAGCCAGGATTTGGGGAATGCCTGGGAATGACAGGAAGTACTTGGGGAATATTAGGACAAGAATAGGAAAATAGGTTAGGGAGTATTTAGGATTAATAGGGAATATTTGGGGAAGAATAGGAAGTGTTTGGGGAATATTTGTGGGATAATAATAAGTCTTTGGGGAATATTTGGGAAATAACAGGAGGTATTTGGGGAATAATGGCAAAATAGTTTGGGAAATAACAGGAAATATTTCGGGAATAATAGGAAAATAGCTTAGGAGATATTTTGTAAATACTGGGAGAACAATGCCAAATATTTAGGGAATAACAGCAAATTGGTTGGGGGAATAATATTTGGGAAGTAACAGACAAGTTGTTTGGGGAATAATATGAAATATTTGGGCAATAATTAGAAAATAACTTGGGGAATGTTTGGAAAATAATAGCAGATTTTGGGGAATGATTCCAAATGTTTAAGGAAAAATAGCAGAATAATAGCAGATTAATTGGGGGAATAATAGGGAATTTTTAGGCAATAATAGGAAAGTAGCTTTGGGAATATCTAGGAAATAATAGCAAATGTTGGGGGAAAATACCAAATATTTAAGGAATATTGGGGGAATAATAGCAAATTAATAGAGGGAATAACAGGAAATATTTGGAAAGTAATAGAAAAGTGATATGGGGAATATTTGGGGGATGTTTAGGGAATAAGAAGAAATATTTGAGCAATAATAGGAAAATAGCTTAGGGAATATTTGGAAATAACAGCAAATATTTGGGGGAAAATAGCAAATGAATTGGAATAATAGGAAATATTTGGGGAATAATAGGAAATATTTGGGGAATAATGGGGAATATTTGGGGAATAATGGGGAATATTGGGAGGATTTTTTGAGGAATAATAAATAGCTTAGGGAATATCTTGGAAATAATAGCAAATTTTTAAATAATAGAAATAATAGCAAATCTTTAGGGAATAATAGACAATTAATTAGGGGAATAACTGGAAATACTTGAGGAGAATTTGGGAAGGAATAGACAAGCCATTTGGGCAATAATAGGAAATACTTGGGGAATAATAACCAGTATTTGGGGAGTGGTTGAGAAATAACAGGAAAGGTTTGGGCAATAATGGGAAAATAGGTTGGGGATGTTTGGGAAATAATTGCAAATATTGGGGGAACAACAGCAAATATTTAGGGAATATTTAGGGAATAATAGGAAATTAATTGGGTCAATAGTGGGGAATACTGGGGAGAATAATGGGGATTATTTGGGGAATGTTTAGGGAATAACAGGAAGTATTTGGGGACTAATGGGGATTATTTGGGGAATAATAGGGAATGTTTGGGGAATAAGAGAAAATTGCCTTAGGGAATATCTGGGGAATAATAGCAAGTATTGGGGGAATAACATCAAATATCTAGGGAATATTGGGGGAATAATAGGCAATTGATTAGGGGAATAATAGGAAATATTTGGGGAATATTGGGAATATTAACCAATTGGAGTGGCTGGGGAATAACAGGAAAGATCTGGGCAATGATAGGAAACAGCTCGGGGATGTTTGGAAAATAATAACAGAGCTTGGGGAACAACAGCAACTGTTCAGGGACATTCAGGGATTAATGGGAAATTAATTGGGGGAATATTGGGGGAATAATGGGGAATACTGGGGGAATAATGGGGAATATTGGGGGAATGGTGCCTGAGGGGATAAATCCGGTGACGTGTGTGGGGACACAGAGGTGTGCAAGGACAGAGCCCAGGGACAGAAGGACTCCTGAGGGGACACATCCTGGGGACACCCAGACACCCCAGGACACCCATCCCGGGGACACAAACCTGGGGGGACATGGACACGTGGGGACACAGCCCTGGGACACCCAGGGACACCCAGGGACACAAATCCTGGTGGCATAGGGACACCCAAGGGGCTCATCCTACAGACACAGGGACAGCTGGGGACATTTGGGACACATGAAGGGACACATCCCAGGGACACGGGCTTGTGTGGACACACAGACACATGGAGACACCCATCCTGGTGGACACAGGGACACCCCAGGGGACACTTCCCGAGGACATGCATTTCCATGGACACACAAACACCCGAGGACACAAATCCTGGTGGCCCCCAAGTGACAATTTAATGCCCCCACCCAGGACCAGCCCCATTCCCGCATCCCCCCCTTCCACCCCACACCGAGGCCACCAAACGCCCCCCATCCCACCCCCAGAATCCCTATAAAAGTACAAAAAAACCCCTGAACCCCCCCGGAATCCACCTGGCGGCGGCCCCGGCGGTGTCACACGGCGGAGGTGACATCGCCCGCTGTCCCCGCGGTGCCCCCGCAGCCGCCCAGCTCCAGCAGCCGCTCCCGCTCCTCCTGCCGCCGAGGGGGCACCTGGAGCGAGGGGGGACCCTCGGGGGGGGCTGCGGGAAAGGGGGGTGTCAGCATCCCGGAATTCCACACGGCAGCCGGGAGAGAGATCCACGCGGATAGGAGGGCCCTGACCCCATCCAGGTGCTCCCCGATCCCATTAGGAGGCTTCCCAGCCCCATTCAGGGGGTCCCCGACCCCTCTGGGGTCTCCCTGACCCCATCCAGGTGCTCCCTGATCCCATGTGGGTGCTCTCCAGCCCCATCCAGGTGAATCCCATGGTAGGGATGCTCCAGAACCCCTCTGGGTGTTCCCTGGGATTCGGGTGTCCCCCCAAATCCACGTGGGTGCTCCCCGGGATACAGGTACACCCCAAAACCCCCGTGGGTGCTCCCCGGGCCGTGTTGTCCCCCCAGACCCATCTGGGTGTTCCCTGGGCTGGGCTGTCCCCCCAAACCTCCGTGTGCTCCCCCAGAGCACCCCGACCCCCAAATCCCGATGTCCCCCAAATCCAGACATTCCCTGACCATCGCCCCCCAAACCTGCAGATGCATCCCCCAAATTCCCGTGTGCCCCCCCAACCCTGCCCCCCCCCCACAGGGCTGGGTGTCCCCCAAAACCTTGAGTGCCCCCAACCAGTGCCATCACCCCTGACCCCACATGGGGCTGGCTGTCCCCACAAACCTGCAGGTGTCCCTCCCCCCATAAATTCTCAGGTGCCCCCCAAACCCTGCCCCCCACCCAGGGCTGCGTGTCCCCCCAAATTCCCACCGTGCTGGGGGGGCTCCTGCGGGCCGGGGGTGTCCAGGAAGACCCCGCTGTCCCCCCGGAGCTTCTCCCCATCCGGCGACATTCCCGCATCGCCCGCGTCCCGCGCCTTGTCCAGCTGCCGCTTCTTCCTGCAGGTGTCCCAGCTTGGGAAGGGGGGGGACACACGGGGGAGGGGTCACTGGGGGTCCCCAAATCCGCGTGTTCCCCCCCCGGGACCCCCAAAACTCACCACTTGAAGGCCACGTAGGCGATGAGCCCCACGACGACGGCGGCCAGGAGGGCACAGTACAGCGGGATGGAGGCTCCGGGGGGCGGCTCGGGGGGGTCCCCCGGCACCGGGGGGGTCACACGGGGGGTCCCCCACACCGAGGGAGTCCCCCCGGGAACCGGCACAGCGGCCACGTCTGTGGGGACCGGGAGGGGCGACCCCAAAGGTTAAAGGAGGTTTGGGAGTTATCTGGACGTGCCTCAGTTTCCCTCCGGAGGGGAATGGGGGGGACCTGATCTTGGGATCATCCCCAGAGCCACGTGGGGAAACGGCCATAAAAAGGGGGGGGAGGAGGTAAAAAAAGGGAAAGTGAGGCATAAAAAAGGGAATGAGGGAAAAAAAGGGGAAACTGAGGTACAGAAAGGGGAAATTGGGTAAAAAAGGGGAAACTGAGGCACAAAAGGGAAACTGAGGCACAAGAAGGGGATTGAGGTAAAGAAAGGGGAACCAGGAAAAAAAGGGAATGAGGGAAAAGAAGGGGAAATTGAGGCACAGAAAGCGGGAAATTGGGTAAAAAGGGGGAAACTGAGGCACAAAAAGAGGGAATGAGGTAAAAACAGGGGAAACTGAGGCACGATATTGGGAAATTGGGACACGACGTGAGGAAATGAAGGAACTACCTGAGGAAAAGGAGGTCACAACGTGGGGAAACCGAGGAACAAAATGGGGAAACTGAGGCACGATAAAGAAATTAAGGAATTACACGGGGAAACTGAGGCACAAGAGGGAGTTCTCCAGGAGGAACTGCTGAACTGTGCAGGGAAACTGAGGCAGAAAATGGGGAATACAGGCACAAAAAGGGGAAACTGAGGCGCAGAATAAGGAAATTGGGGAAATTAAGGAACTTTGTGGGGAAACTGAGGCACAATGTGGAGAAACTGAGGCAGAAAGAGGGGAAATGAAGGGACTACATGGGGAAACTGAGGCACAAAACGAGGAAACTGAGGCACAACGTGGGGAAATTAAGGAATGAGCAGAAGAAACTGAAAGGTAAGATGGGGAAACTGAGGCACAACAAGGGAAAACTGAGGCTTAATAAGATGAAATGGAGGCAGGAAACAGGGAAAGTGAGGCATGACAGGAGGAAACCGAGGCAGGACATGAAAAAATGAAGGAATTACGTGGAGAAATTGAGGCACAAAAAGGGGAAACTGAGGCACAACATGAAGAAACTGGAGAAAATGAAGGGAAACTGGGAAAATGGAGGCACAAAGTGGGAAAATTGAGGCACAAAGTGGGAAAACTGAGGCACAATGTGGAGAATCTGAGGCACGACATGTCAAAATGAAGGAACTACCCGGAGAAACTGAGGCAGAACGTGGGGAAATTGAGGCAGGACATGAGAAACTTTGGGAATTACACGGAGAAATGGAAGCACAGCGTGGGGAGACTGAGGTAAAAAATGGGGAAACTGAGGCACAAAATGGGGAAACTGAGGCAGGACATGAGAAAATTAGGGAACTACATGGAGAAATGGAAACGCAAGTGGGGAAACTGAGGCACAGCACAAGGAAATTGAGGATAATGTGGAGAAACTGAGGCACAATGTGGGGGAACTGAGGCATGAGGAAATTAAGGGATGACATGAGGAAACTGAAGTAGGACATGGGGAAATTGAGGCAGGACAAGGGGAAACCAAGGCACGACGTGAGGGAACTGAAGAGCTATGTGGGGAAAGTGAGGCACGACGTGAGGAGATTAAGGAATGACACGGGGAAACTGAGGCACGACATGGGGGAAACTGAGGCACAATAGGGAGGAACTGAAGAACTTCGTGGGGAAACTGAGGCACGATAAGGGGAAACCTCTGCCCAGCCCCCCTCAAACCTTCCTGCCCCTCCCACCCTCACACCCCCCACCCGGGGTGTCCCCGGTGCCACTCACGGCTGCAGGGGGGGCAGGGTGGGCACGGCTCCTCCGGCTCCTCCTCCGCGGGGCTCCGGGCTGTGGGAGAGGTTTCTGGGGGTGTTTTAGGAGCAGTTTTGCGGGGGGGGGGAGGGTTTAGGGAGGTTTTTGGGGTACTCACTGTGCGCGTCATCAGGGTCACACGGCTGGGGGACACCGGGGGGACACGGGGGGCACCCCCCGCCCCACCCGGGCACCTGCGGGCACAGAGAGGGTCCTGCCTCAGTTTCCCCTTAATTTGCTCCAGGATCCCCCCAATTCTCACTGTGACCCCCCCTCTAAAACATGGAAAGGGGAGTTTGAGAGCCTGGGATAGGGGGTTATTGGGGAGGGGGATGGGGAGTGCTCGAGGGTTAAAATAGAAAGAGTGGGAGGAGGGATTGAGGAATGACAAAAATAAATAAAAACAAAGGAGAAATAAAGGAAAATAAATAAAAGTGAAAAATCAAATGAAAAGAGAAAAAAGAAAAGGAAGTAAAGAGTAAATAAAAATGAGTGTGAGAAAGACACTGACAGGGAAAGAAGTTAAAAGAAATAAAGGGAAATAAAGGGAGATAATGGAAAAATCTGAAATGAAATGAAAGGAAGTAAAGTAACAGGAAATAAAGGAAAATAAAAGAAAATAAAGGAAAATAAAGTATAATAGTATGAGATAAAAAATCAAAATGAAATAAAATTTAAAAGGAAAATTAAAATAAAATAGAAAAGGAAAATAAAATTAATTTTAAAAATCAAAATAAAAAAGGAAAATAGAATTAACTAAAATATAACAAAATAATAAAATAAAAGAAGGAAAATGAAATCAAAATTAAAGAATGAAAATAAAAATAAAATCAAAAACCGAAAAACATAAAAAATAATATGAAATAAAGTGAAAAAGGAAAATAAAAATAAAATGTATAAGGAAAATAAAATAAAAGAAAGTAAAAAAAAAAAAAAACACCATAAAAATGAAGGGAAATGGGATAAAAGGAAAGAAAAGGAACTGAAGGAACTGAACCGAACTGACCCAAAGTGAACCGAACCAAGCCCCAAAAAACAACAAAAGCGAGGGAGCCAAATGACCCGCAGCGTCCCGGGCCGGGGGCGGCCGGCGGGGCCCGGGGGCAGCGGGAACACCCTCCCGGCCCGGCCCATCCCGGCCCGGCCCGGCCCAGCCCAACCCGTTCCAGTTCCAGTCCCGGTCCCGGTCCCGGTCCCAGTCCCGGTCCCGGTCCCGGTCCCGTCCCAGTCCCAGTCCCGTCCCGGTCCCGCACCGGGCTCAGCAGCAGCAGCAGCAGGAGCGGCCCCAGGAGCCGCCGCATCGCCGGCACCGGTCCCTGCCCGGGACCCCCCGCTCCGGCCGGACCGCTCCGAGCCGCTCCGAGCCGCTCCCGCTGCGCTCGGCTCGGCCCCGGCCGGCTCCGCTCGACCCCGCTGCGGTCCCGCTTCAGTCCCGGTTCGGTCCCGTTCGGCTCCGCTCAGTCCCAGTTCGGTCCCGTTCAGCCACGCTCGGTCCTGGTTTGGCCCCGCTCGGTCCCAGTTCGGTCCCGCTCAGCCCCGCTCCGTTCGGGTCCGGTCCCGCTCGATCCCAGTTCGCTCCCGTTCGGTTCGGGTCCGGTCCCGCTCGGTCCCAGTTCGGTCCCGTTGAGCCCCGCTGGGTCCCGGTCGGGTCCTGGTCCGGTCCGTTCGCTCCTGTTCGGTCCCGTGGAGCCCCGCTGGGTCCCGGTCCGGCCCGTTCGGTCCCGGTTCCCTCCCGGTCCGTTCTCTCCCGCTCGGGCCCCTCGTTCCCGCCCCGCCCGGGCCGGGCTCAGCTGGGCGTGGCTCCCCCGGGCAGGGCGGGGCGGGGCGCTCCGCTATTGGCTGAGCGGGACGGGCGGGGCGGGGCTTCGCGCAAAGCCCCGCCCCTCGCGGCTCTGGGGTCGCTGGTTCGAGTCCCGCCCGGGGCGCTGGAACTGGGACCGAACTGGGATCGCTCTGGTCCGATCTGCGATTGTCAGCCCCCTCCGCCTCCCCACGGCCCTGCCCCGAGTGGAAAACAGTCTCTGAAAGTGGGAGAAGAAGCTTTATTGACCCCTGGTGGAGGCACAGCGCCCTGGGGTGGGCACAGGAATTCAGCTGGGGGCAGCGTCCTGGCGTGGGTGGGGGGGCTTGGGTTTGGTGCAGGGTCCTGTGGTGAGTGCAGGGTCTCGGAGGGGGTGCATCATCCCACCTTGGCGTGGGTGCAGGGCTTTGCTGTGGGTGCACAGCCTTGGAGCGGGTGCAGTGTCCAAGGTGGGACCCTGGCATGGCCCCTGCTGTGGGTGCAGCCCCCCAGTGTGGTGGGTGCAGGACGCTGCCGTGGGCACAGGGGCTTGGCGTGGGTGCAGGCTCTCGCTGAGGGGTCTCATTGTGGGTGTGGGGTCTTTGTGGGTGTGCAGGGTCTTGGCATGGGTGTGGGGTCTCCTGGGTGCCTGATCTTGGTGTGGGGTCTTGCTGAGTGTGCAGAGTGTCAGTGTAGGCACAGGGTCTCAGGATGAGGGAGCTTGGTGTGGGTTAAGGGTCTCATTGTGGGTGTGGGGTCCTAGTGAGGGTGAGGGGTCTTGGTGCAGGTACAGGGTCTCGCAGGTGCCAGGTTTTGATGAAGGAACAGGCTTTCATGGCTGTGGGGTCTCCTGGGTGTGGGGTCCCCGTGTGGGTGCAGGGTCTCAGTGTGGGCACACCCCCCTGGTACCTCTTATCTCTCCTCACCACCCACGGGTGGGGTGCCAGAGCTCCACCACCTTCCCCCCGGCGTGGACGAAGTACACGGGGTGCATGGCGGCCGTGGCACAGGCCTGGAGGGGGGGACAGTCAGTGGGGGACATGGAGGGGACACGGGGGACACGGCAGGGCCGGATACTCACGTGGTACGGGATGAGAGCCAAGGTGCTTCCCACCGGGAACTGCTGGAAATCCAGCTCCCCATCCACGGCCTCCACCTGCCCGTGCTCCTGGGTCAGCCCCACCAGCCTGGGGGGACACGCTGTCACCTCCCCGCCCCATCCCGCCCCGCCTGTCCCCCCCCTGCCCACCCCGCGGGGGTCACCTGAGCTGGGGGTGCCCCTCGATGGCGGCGCAGCCCGGGGGTCCCTGGTCGCGGCCGTGCAGGCTCAGGGCCGCCCACCCGCAGTCCACCAGCAGCTGCCGTCGGTGCGGGTAGTGCCCCACCACCCTGGTGAGGACGCGGATCGCCACCTCCTCCGGCCCGCACGAGCCCAGCTGGGTCTGCTGCAGGTCTGGGGGGGGGAGAGGAAAGTGCCTGGATCGGCTCGGGGTGTGTCCCATCCTCGGGGGTCCCGGGGGGGCCCGTCCCGCTCACCATAGAACAGGTAGTTGCCCGGGTGCACCTCGGTGAGCTGCGACATCTCCGGCACCGGGTGGCTGCAGGACGGGGTGGAGCCGATGGTGGCCTCGGGACACGGGATCCCCTCCTGCCGCAGCCTGGGGGCACATGGGGGGGGACCCTCTGAGTGCTCGGGGGGGACACAGCACCCCCAGGGGCCGGGGAGAGGGGCCAGAGGTGGGTCTTTCACCCCTGGGCACGGCGGGGAACGAGACCAGGGGTGGGTCCTTCAACCTTGGGTGCCACAGGACCAGGGATGGTGATGCCTCAGGGAGCCCCCAGATGGGTCAGGAATCCCCCAAACACTCAAGGGAATCACCCAGATGGGGCAGAGCCCCCCCCGTATGTTAGGAAGATCCCAAGATGTACTGGGGACCACGCCCTGATGTGCCCAAGCACCCCAGATGTGGCAGAAATCCCCCCAGATGGGCCAGGACCCCCCCAGATGTGAACAGGAGCCCCCCAGTGATGCCAGAGCATCCCCAGATACACCTGGGACCCCTCTCAGCTGTTCCTGGACCCCCAGATGTGGCAGAGCACCCACCAGCTGTGCTTGGAACCAGCCCCAGATCCCAGATCCTGCCTGGAACCCCTCCCAGCTGTTCCCAGCTGTGCCAGAGCAGCTCCCAGCTTTGGCAAAAAGGGGGAATTTGGGGGGGTGGTCTCAGTTCTCCCCCCCCCCAACCGGTGCCACCTCAGGCTGGGCTGGGGACCCCCAGGACGTGTCCCCAGGTGTGAACATCCCTGTTCGTGGGGGGATGGGGGTCCCTGTTTCCCCCCTCCCTTTCCCAGCGGGGACCATCCGGCAGCAATTCCCTGCAGGATGCGAAACCCCCGCTGGGATAAAAGGGTGGCAGAGGAGCAGGGAGGTCACATCAAAGGTAACATCAAAGGTGGCGGAACCACCAACATCCTCCTTGTGCCCCCCCGGGGCGAGGGGGAGGTTTGAGGGTCTTTTATGGGGGTCATTTACATTTACAACCCAACACCGGGATTTGGGGCGGGGGGGGTGGGGAGACAAGGACGTGCCACCCCCACAGCTCCACCCTCGCTCTCCCCAAACGCGTGGGCCGGGACTCACCTGGTGACGAAGGCCAGCACGGCGCGGGTGGTGTCCCTGGCGATGTCCTGCACGGCCGGGATGTCCCCGCAGCCGTAGGTGTTCCCGCAGTGCGCGTACACCCCCACCAGCCTCACCACCTCCGGCGCCCCCCGGGCGATGGAGCGGGCCAGGGCCAGAGCCGCGGGGTCCGTGGGGCGGATTCCCGCTGGGAGGGGGTTTGGGAGAGATGGTGGGCATGGGGATTGGTGGGATATCACCCCTCCCCCCCCCCCCCCGGAGAGTCCTGGCGGTGGGAATGGGCTTGGGGGACGGGGATTAAAGGGCTTTGGGTGAGCTCTGCCCCTTGGAATGCCTGGAAAAATGACCCTGGGGGGATTTAGGTGCCCTGTCCTGGTTGAGATGGTGGATCTGAGGGCTTGAGGGACCTGGGACATCCTCCCCCATGGAGCATCCTTGAAGAATGATTTTTGGGCAGGGGTCTTAAATGTCCCCTCCTGGTTGAGATGGATTTGAGGGCTTGGAGGGACTTGGGACATGGAGCATCCTCGATTAATGACACTGGGGGTGGTCTTGGAGGGGTAAGGAACATCCTTCCCTATGAAACATCCTCAAAGAAGGACTTCTAGGGGCTCTCAAATTCCTCAGCCTGGTTGAGATGGTGGGTCTGGGAGGCTTGGAGAGACATTGGGATCCCTTCCTGTGGAGCATCACTGAAGATTGGCTTTTT